GCCGCCTGGCCGTCCACAGGTTGTGTGGCAGCCCCGCCCCCGGCCCCGCCCCGCCCCACCCGGGTGGCGGGAAGCAGGTAAGCCGGGTCCTGCCACCGCGCGGCCGGACTCTGGGCTCCGCCCCTCCCGCCGGCCCGTGGGCCCTGGGTTTCAAGAACTCCTGCACCCCTCTTAAAGGCAAAGAGGGTTCCATGCTTGGGACGCAGAGGCCAAGGACAGGCCCCTCCAGCCCGTACTGGCCCATCTAGGCCTGCCAAAGGATGCTGCCCTGGACTCCCTCTCCAAAGGACCTCCTGGCCACCTTGAGCTAAAGATTGCCCCTGCCTGCTCCCCTGCTGGAGACTGGCTGGGGACTTTGGCTTCCTGGGGTCACCTTGCTGCTTTGTGTCCTTGGACAAGTCCCTGGAACTCTGGACTTGCTGCCCGTCCCTGAAAGTGCACAAGATAACCCTGCCTATTCCGGTTGTCCCTTTCGGGGGGGGGGGGGTGCCCCACCCTCCAGAGCAGCTCCCTGACACCCGGCTCCCTCCCAGCACCAGCACAGTTCCCTCCATCCGTTGGTAAAGCTCCTCCTTCCAGCAAACTTTTGGAGTCCTTGCCCTTCTTCTTCTTCTTCTTTTTTTTTTTAAATTTTTTTTAAAGATTTTATTTATTTATTTGAGAGAGAGAGAGTGAGAGAGAGCACATGAGAGGGGGGAGGGTCAGAGGGAGAAGCAGACTCCCCGCCGAGCAGGGAGCCCGATGCGCGGGACTCGATCCAGGGACTCCAGGATCATGACCTGAGCCGAAGGCAGCCGCTTAACCAACTGAGCCACCCAGGCGCCCGCCCTTCTTCTTTTAAGGCAGTGATGTGGGTGCTGCTCTGATCCCCCAAACTCAATAGTAGTTATTTCTTTGACCCTTCACCCAAAACACAGTTGGGCATACAGTAGGTGCTCCATAACTGTTAGTTAATACAAGATGAGGGACCACACACAGTAGGCTCTCCTTACTCTGAACCCCCGTATCCCCCAGGCATCAGGGGCCCCAGGGGTGGGGGGAGAGGGAGGGATATCCCTATGGTCCTGCCATGCCCCCTGTCCTTTACTTTCTTGGGGGTTTTAACTGAGTTTGAAGATTACTTGAGCACCTACTGTGTGTGGGTGGGCAGACTGAGTACTTCATGAGGGCAGGATCTTGGCCTCAGACAAGGGATTGGGCACACAGTGAGCGCTCACTGGATGCTCCTCCACTCCCCGGAAGGGAGAGCCAGACAGGCCCAGTGGAAGTGGGAAGGGAACCCTCCAGCTGGGGCTGCTGAGTCAGAGCCTCCCAGCTGGGAGGCCACCTGAGCGTGGAATCCAGTGGATTGAAGGCTCAAGCTGGCATAAGGAGACCCCAGACAAGGTTCCCTAGCCCACCTCCCTTTTCCCAACTGGGAAGGCCCCTGGAGGGGATTCTAGAAAAAGGGCAGGCCTTGAGGAATGCCTTGATGGAAGGAGAAATCAGAGTCCAGTATAGACCTGGCTTCTTAAAAATATGGGGCTGGGGTTTGCAAGGTCTGGGTGCCAGTCCTGGCCTTTCCCCCTTCCTCACTGGCCAGATCCCAGAACATCATGGTGGCTCAAGTTTCCCCCATCTCTGCAATGGGCACAGCCTACTGTGTGCACAACTAGGAAGCCAAAGAGCCCTAAGCCAGCAGCTTGACACCAGGTGCCACTGCCTTGCCGTCTGGGAAATCTCTGGGTTACATGGTGTCCCCACCCTGTTTCAGCCCTATCTCCAGCCTGGAACACACTGGGCCTGGCCTTGTCCACTTCCCCAGCTGCTCTGAAGGTCCCTGAGGGCAAGGTCTGGCTTCTACCTTTGTCCCCCCTAGGCTTGCCCAGGCCTGAGCCCCCGCTCAGAGGGGTCAGGATACCTGGGCCATAGCAGCAGCAGCTGGAAACCACCGGGACCATCTCATCAGCCCAGTGGAACTCTGGGCCTCTCACCCAGGCTCCCCTCCAATCTGACCCAAGAGCTCGTCTCTGTCTGGCCTGGGTGGGGCTGCTGTGCCTCTTGGCTTGGGTGAGGGGTATATTTTAGGGTACATTTAAGCTTGAGCACACTTGGATGCTGAATCATAAAGGGTTGGAAGCCCCAAAGGTTGGATCATAGGCTGTTCCTTCGAAGGATGTTGTAATCAGAGACTTTTGGACTCTGAGGTTTTATCAGGGAATGTCGAGATTGCAGTTTTAGAACTGCAGTTGCAGGAGGGGGACTTCAGAGGTCACCGGCCAACACCATCTCCGATCACAAGGCCTTTCCACACTGCATTGGGAGGGCTCATTGACTTGGCTGGCTCTCCTCCGCCCAGGCCGAACCCTGCATGGTCTAGCGATGTGCCACGGTCACAGGAGATCAAGAGACAGGGCTGACTTGAATGCAAGTGAAGGCATTGCATCAATGGACACTTATTTCCAACCCAGAGACAGCCAGAACAGAGCTTGAGTGTGTGTGGCTGAAGCTGGCCAGCTGGGCTCAGCCGCTAGCTAGCTGGGTGACCTTGGGCCAGGGAGTTCACCTGTCTGAGTCTCAGTGTCCTGGGCAAAATGAGAAGAATGAGGGCAGGTCCCAACAGGTTGCTTTGAGAACTAAATGAGTTCCTACGTAAAATGCTTAGAACAGGCCCTGCTTCTTCTTATCCAGCCTGCACCGTCTGGCGTAAAAAGACCCTTGCCCCTATTCCTGCCTAGTTGCCCCCTCCATGTGTCCTGCTGCCTTCTTGGGACACTAGCCCGTTTTGTCACCTACTTTAGCACACCCCCCCAGTGAGGTTGGCATCATTATCCCCATTTTACAGGTGAATAGACCAAGGCTCCAGGCACCAGGCCACTCGCTGGTTAAGTGGTAGAAGCCAAGTTAGAAGGCAGACTTAACAGGCTCCCAAGCCCCCACGAGCTCTCCTGCTGTGCCAGCTGGCGCTTCCTGGAGGCTCCAGAATAGCTGCCCCCTCCTTCATCCCCATGGCTGCCTCCGGGGAGCAAACCCGCGACAGTCTGGGAAGTGCCAGTGGGTGAAGCTCAAGCAGGATGAGCACAGGGAGGCCAGTGGCTGGCGTGGAGGTGGTGGGAGCAGGGGTCAGCTGTGGGGCCACAGCACTGAGCAAGAATGTCGCACGGTAGACACCTGGACAAGTCGCTGGTTTGTGGTCCTATCAGTGCCCGGCTCTAAGTGGAGGCTGCTGTCCAGAGCAGCCAGGCATGCGGTGTGATTTCTGGGGCTCTGAGAACTTGCCTGCCTCCTCAAGCCAAAAGGACTTTCCCAGAAGGAAACCCTGGGAGGGGCCGAGGCCTGAGGACAGCCCCCGAGAGCCCGTGCCCTTAACCCTGGCTCCAGAGGACAGTGGCGCACGGAGGGCTCGGGAGACTGGGCGGGGGGGGGGGTACACACATGCCACCAGAGGGACGCCTCGCGGGACTGCTGGTTGGCCTGGCCCTGACCTGTGCCCTCAAGCACTTCACATGCTCTTCGAGCCACCGAGCCTCCATTTCTTGTGGCCACAGGCAGTTCTGAGGACTGAGGGAGAAGGTGAGAGCAGCAGGCCGGCTCCGGTGTTCTCCGCCTGGGCAGGGACTGGGGGCAGGGCCAGCAGGATGGCAGCGGGGACAGGCTCTCGGGCCGGGTGGCAGCCCCTCCGTTGCTGGCGGCGGCCACAAACAGATGAGCAGTGTGCTGCGGTTGCCAAAAAAGAAACCCAAACGAGCTGCTGCCTCCAGCCGCATGAATAGAAGTGGAAGTGTGGCTTCAGGGTCTGGGAAGTCCCAGGGCTCCTGGGCTGGGCGTGGGAGTCACCCTTTGAGAGACAAGAGAACGCGCCTTCCCTGCTCCAGCCCAAGGGCTCCACAGCCTCTGGGTCTCCTGTGCACAGCTCAGTGCTCCGGACCTCTGACCGAACTGACATGCATTATTTGGGGCAAGACTCCTCCCCAGAGTGGAGGCTGAGGGTCACCTCCCATCATCACCACCCCAGCCCCAGCCCCTCAGACAGATGCGGGACTCCATGGCGGGCCCCGCAGGTCCACCTCCCTTCCCGCTGTCCGAGCGACATGCCGAGCTCCTGGCTCACAGGTTCCATGCCAGCCTCTGAGCTGACCGAGGGGCCCTGCCTCCCATGGGGGCTGCTCAGGGGCACCCGCAGGACAGTAGACGGTTGGCCAGATTGACTAGGAAAAAGGGAGGGTGGGAGGTTGGGAAGATGACAGAGATATCCCCGTCCCCGTCGAGGCTGGGTCACTTCAAGCCAACGCCTTGGGGAACCAGTTCGTTCAAGGACTCTTCAGGCCTCAGAGGGGCCTTACAGCTCCCTGGGTCCCTCCCCACTACCAAAGGCCAGAGAAGGCAGCACCTCGCTCAAAGTCACACAGTGCGCCAGGGACCCCGCCGGGAGCAGACGAAGACTCCCTGCCCGAAGCTGCACACATTTGCACCCCACCCTGCAGCCCTTGCACAGATGCGCAAGATCCTACTCCAGACGGTGCTCCCGGGACTCGGGGGCAGCGGCACTGCGAGCAGGGCCTCATCTCATTTAGAACCTTCCTTCTGCAGACTGTCTTTCAGGGGCATCCCAACTGTCCGCGCAGTCTGGCCCAGTGGGGAAGGGAACAGGAACTGGCCACGTGGCTGGGGGTGCACGGGGGCCAGGGCATCTGGAAGCCCCACTGCAGGAGGGCTGTGTCTGGGATGGGGCGGGGGGGGTCCTGCACTGACGTGAAGCTCTCAAGCGCACATCCAGTGAGACCTGGCAGAGAGAGGCAGCCCTCATTTGCTGGATGGAAAAGAGTGCCCAGGCTGGGGAGTGAGCATGCTGGGCTCTGGGAAGGCGTCCAGCCTGGAAAACACTAGGTTAGACAGAATGAAACTGGTTTGTTAAATACAGGACTCCCCATCATCTGCTAGGGGGGAGAAATGGCAGGCAGCCTTGCCCAGGCTTATCTCAAAGGGAACCCTCGCCTGCAGAGCAGCACGTAGGGCTGGCTCCACACCACCTGGCAATCCCCCGGACGAACTGCTGCCCCTTGCTCGGCTCTGCACTGGTTCGCGCTCTCAGCTGCGAGGCTACGCCACTCCCTAGGCACTGGACCGAAGCCTCCCAGGGAAGAGAGAACTCTGGTAACACCAGGGGGTAAGTGAGCCGCAGCTGGGACTGGCAGAGGGCCCAGTGCAGCATCCCTGGGCCTCTCTAGAAACCAGCTGCAATTAGCACCCTGCTTCCTGGGAGCAGCCTCTGGGGAAAGGCGAGAAGAGAAGGCGAGGCAGGGCCCTCTAGTGCGGCCCCGCAGTTGTCTTTGGAGGGCTGAGAGCAGCAGGAGGAAGTCGTGAGCAACCAGGGGGCCTCCCACTCAGCGTCTGCAGCAGCCGCGGCTCCTGGCAGGCCTGAGTGGCCACTCACTTCCAGCTGGGACGGCTCTGGGCCCGCCTCAGCCCTGGGCCCTCTGGTGACTCAGCACCACCACAGGCCCCCAAGCAGGGCCTCTTCCGGTGAAAGGCTCAGGGGTGATGGGGAGGGGAACCGTGGCTGGATCTCCAAAGACCCAGCTAGAGAGGCCTGCAGGGCAGCCCCAGGGCCCTCCCGCTCCTGGACCCCCATCTCCCTCCACCTCAGAAGGGCCCGGAGGGCAGCTGGTCCAGGAAAAGGACGTTTTATTTCCATAAATACTCCTGCTCTCACTCACACACTGACCCCACTCGGCCCACAGAAAGATGGATGGGCAGAGGTGAGCCGCCCACAGGAGGCCCCGGCAGAGGCCAGGGACTGAAGGAGACGCACTGAGAACTCCAATGCAGGACCTCCCTTGGCCAGGGGCCCTGGAGCCCCCAGCCGGGGCACCCAGGTCTGCCATGACCTCCGGGCCAGCAGTCACAGCCCCCACAGCCCCTCAGGAGGCCTGACGGCAAAGGGGGCAGGCGGGTGGAGTGAAACCCCCACGAGAAGTGGGGGACAGGTGGGGCTCCCCCAACTGGGCCTCCTGAGATGGTGACCACAGGGCCACTGAGAAAGAGAAGCAGAGTCAAACCACACACCAGAGAGTGCAAAGAGCTGGGGGTGCAGGCGTCACCCCCCACCAGTCACCCGGTTCCTATGGAGGAGGCCTGAGCTGGTTCCTGCGCCAGCATGGCCCCCCGAGTTATGGCTGGGCCTTCCCATAAGGCATAAGAGACAGGTGGGGATGACCCCACCCCAGGCTGGGGTCAGGGCTGGGCCTGAGGTCCTGGCCCCTGCCCGACAGCCATGCTTCTCCCCCATGATCCCAAGTCCCTCCAGGGCCACGCAGCTGTTCCCTGCTCCAGGCTCCCCCCTGTGGCGAAGGTCCCCAGCAGTGCAAACCCAGGCCCAGCCTCCCGCTGGGTTCAGCTCCGCAGGGGAGGGGGCAAGGAAGGAGGGGGCCGCAGGGGTGAGGGGAGAAGCACCAGGCCCAGGGGATATCGCCATGGGAACACAGGGTGTCCTAGGCCACCACAGCCTCCCACCCAGGCTAGACGGTGCCCAGTCCTGTTGCCCCTCCTCTGCCCAGCCCCTCCCTGTTCTAGAGGCTCCCCCAGGTCTCGGGTGGGGGGAACTGGTCCACATCCCCCATCTCGTTGTAGGTCTGGTCGCCCATGGTGAAGAGGAGCTTGTAGCGGAGCCGAACCTTCTCCTGGGGCAGACACGGTGAAGGCAAGGTCAGAGGGAGAGAAGAGGCTGCCCCCACCCCACGGTGGCACGCTGTCACAGCCGGGCCCCTCACCTTCTGGGGGTTGGCGAGGAGCAGGACCTGGGTGATGGCTGAGGGGTGGACGATGGGGTTAAACGCCGGCAGCTCTGTGCCTGAGGGCGGCTGCAGCTTCACTTTCATGACCTGCAGGCAGTAGGGCGGGAAGGCCTGCTAGCCCTGGCTTCCTGGCCCCATCCTCTGAGGGACCGGGCCCAGTCCGCCTGTCAGCTCCTCCCCGGGGGGCCCGGGGGCTCTGTCCTTTGGCTCCTTTCTATCCCCTAATCCCCAGAGGGACCCTGCCTCCTGCCCCCCCCCCACCCCGCCCAGCCAGCTGGTTCCCCTCCAGCCCCAAGTTACCCTGCCTCCAAAGGAGGGAGGCATGTGCGCGTCACCTTGGGCACAGCCGACTGGAAAACGATGTTGCGAATGGGCTGGGGGGCGGTGCTCAGCATGGACACCACCACCACCAGCACGTCGGAGCGCCCGGGCAGCGGGTCCCGGGCAAAGTGGAAGAGGACCCGGAAGCCATGCTGGTCATACACCGTCACTGGCAAGATGCTGCCTGGCAGGGGGGGAGGGGAGAGGCCGACGGGTGGTGCCAGGCCTGAGCCCAAGTGCGTCCAACCCGCTCCCCAAACCGGCTCCCATCAGGCACTCGCTGCGCTGCTGGAAGGAGCGGACGAGTCCACAAACTCCGGTCCTCGCCTCGACCCTGGGCAGCAGGGCGGCCGGGGTGCAGACTGGCACCCAGACGGGGCAGGCACACTTCTACTGTGTTGGTGGCGGCAGGACACCCACCCCAGACGGGGTCACAGCTGGGGCTCCCCCAGTACTCCTTGCTGGAATGCTGAAGGCCGAGGGGTGAGCTGGGGTCATGCTCTCACCGTGCGACCCTGGCACAGTCACTCTGCTGTTCAGGGTCCTCCCTGCTGTTAAGAGAGGGGCACCACTACCCACTTCTTGGGGACACTGGGGGTGATGCCCTCAGTCACAGTGAGGTCATGAGATGGACAAGGCCGAGAAGACCTGCCTGTCTTCGTTGGTCTGCTCACGGCCTGGGCCGGGAGTGGCCCCCCTGTTGCTCCTGGGCAGGAGCAGCTCAGGCTTGGACCTACATCTTGATCCTGGTTTGGTTTCACGATCTCGGAGAGACCCCGAACCTCTCTGTCCTGGCCCTGCCTTTCTGGGGAGGGTGCACCCAGTGGCCAGCATAAGAGGTCCTCTTGCCTGCGGAAGCCTGGACTCTGGAGCTCTCTGCCCTCACTCTGGGACAGATGAGAAAGCAGGGTCCCAGGAAGGGCAAGGGCCTCCCTCAGAGCTCCCTCCCGGGTCAGAGCTCCTAACAGGACAGCGAGGGGGTCCCAGCCCAGCCCGTACCCGCCAGCACCCCCGGCCCACTCACTGGGTTTGATGGACTCCAGGGGCACAGTGATGCTGGCCAGCGAGAGCTCAGTCGTCGTGGGCTGCTGCAGAGGCCCGGGGGGCTCGGGGGACGCAGCGTGGAGGAGGCCAGTGGCCCCGGAGCTGGGCGAGCTGCAATTACTTTTATTCTGCAGGTCCCGAAGTGTGAGCCGGGGGGTCGGCTGCTGCTTCTCCCTTGTTGGGGGACGTGGCATTGGGGGGGTGAATCTTTGGGGGCCGAGAGATCAGGGGCACAGGAAAGGCCAGGCTTCCTGGCTGTCCCTAATGGCCAGCTCAGACGCCTCCCTGTCTCTCCGGCCTTGGTCTCCTCACCTTGGCACAGGGAGCTCTTGATCCCCCGCCCGCCACCCCTGCCCTGTAGGGCATAGCTGTTTCTCTCATAACCTCTGTGCTCCACGGGACAGGCCCTGCACCTGCCTCGGGCCCTGCTGCTTCCCTCCAGCCCAGCACAGAGCTTGGCCCGCGGCGGTCCTCTAGCAGCCGCCACTCACAGGAGCACGCGGGCCCCGGGTCTCTCCCTGTGGGGCCTGGGAGAGCCCAGAAGCTGCTGCCCATGGGGTCGGGTGGGGGAGGGGGTGGGGGTGGGCGTGACTGCCACCCCACGTCAGCCTGGGCAGAGCCCTCACCACCGCACTTGTTGGGACTCCGGGGGCAGTGACTGCTGCAGGAGGGTCTTCCCCAGGAGGTCCAGGTCATCCAGACCACTGCTCGCTGGCAGGGACGTCTGCGCGGAGGCCTGGCTGTCCGTGTCAGGGACCCGAGGCGGGGCTGGGGGCTCTGCGCCATCAGAGGACTGTTGGGCATACACAAAGCACGCAGGTGGGCAGGGCTGTGCTGGGGCAGGCGCGGAGTCACCGTGCGCTGCCCTGAGGCCCCTTCCCCTCCTTGCAAGTGACACCTGGGGAAGCAGCAGCACGGAAGGGGACAACATTCCTGCCGGCCCGCACCCCCCTCGTGGGCCGGCCTGGTCTGGGGTTCTACTCAAGAAACCATCAAATTCCAGGGACCTTAAAGTCACCCCAAGAGAAAAAGAATGGGGAACCCCATCCCAACCCAACGCTGAGACACAGGGAGAGTGCGTGGAGGTGAGGAGAGAATGCCTGCCCTCCCCCACCTGGGGACAGGTGCCTCAGGCCCAGGGCCACAGCCGCATGGTCCTCCCACCTCACTACCCCCAGCAGGCTGTCTGGCCCAGCCACCCTACCCCTGGGAGGGGTTGGGCTGGTTCCTGGCCCTCCTACCTGGAAGCTGTTCCATCCAGCACCGTCCAAGCTTGGGCCTGGAGGGGGTGTGGGGTCACTCAGGCCTGCGAGGAAGCGAGACAAGAGGTGAAGGAGCCAGATTCCTGAGCGGAAGCATGGGAGCTGGGGGGGGGGAGCTGCGTGCTGGCCTGGGGGTCGCTGGCTCCTGCCCTCCCCCTGCGGCCCCCCAAGAGGCTTAGCTCAAAGGGGAAAACCCACTTTTGGAACCAGCAGCAGAGCAGAAGCAGAAACCAAAGATCCTGAGGCCCATTCCCCACACCCACTCAAGCTTCCTTTCCTGCCACTCCGAAGCCACCTCAACCACTGGACATCAGGACTGCTGTCTTCATAGTTGGCTGGCAGCTGGCTGCCCAGGGGTGGCGGGGAGGGAGGACGGAGTGGGAGACACCAGGTGAGGATCCACGGACAGGGGGCGGCATTCTGCACCCCCCCACAATGGCCTCTGAGCGTCCGGGGGCAGGCGGTGCCCCAGCCTCCGAGCAGCCCCTGGCTGGGCTGCAGTGTCCCCACGTGCACTGTGGCCGGTGGGAGCTGGGGCAGACTCTAAAGGCCCTCTCTGCCCTGGCCCGTGTCCATAGGGCGGGCTGGCTGGGGCCAAGGAGAGCCGGGGGCCCTCTGCATCGCTCTGCCCGTTGGCCTGCCGAGGAGTGGAAGGCAGTAGGTCACCAACCAGTCTGACCTCTGCCCTCCCTGAAGCGCCCTCAAGGCCAACTTCACCACAGGGTTTACCTAGAGAAGACAAGTTATCCCGTTTCTAGCAAATCCTGAAGGAGTAAGCTGCAGCCTGAAGCTCTGAAGGGCAAGGGCGAGACGCAGGCAGCTCAGACTGCCGGGTCTCCTCCCCTGGGCACACCGCCCTGAGAGCAGGGACGACACGGGGGTGGCTGCCAAGGTTTCCTACAACCCCCCCGCCCCGCGACGTGCCAGGCTCCTCAGACACAGGGCTCACTGAATCCTCAAACAACCATGGAAGGCAGGTGTAGGGGTGTCATCCCTCTTTCAGGACCGAGGAAACGAATGTCAAGAGGGGTTAGGGAACCTGCCCCAGGCCACGTGGCCCACAAGGGGCAGCATCTGGGCCTGGAAGGAGCATGGCCTCATTGCTGGAGTTTGAACACAGCCCTGCTACTCGGCTGTGTGACCTCAGGCTGGTGACAACCTCTCTCCGCCTCATCTGTAAAACCGAGCCAACAGCAGCGTCTGTGTGAGGGGACCGTGACAAATTAGCCCATCAGAGGAAGTGCCTGAACACTGCCGGGACACCCTCCTCGCGGACGGGAAGTCCATGCTGCTGGCCCTGCCCCCACCCTTCACCCTTCCTGCCGCAAAGAACCGTTTAGGACAAGCCCCCGCTGTGGTCCCAAGGCTTCCTCTATCCCCCAAGCTGGCCGGGTGCTGCCCTGGCACTTCTGGTTCCTGTTCCTGTTCCCACATTTTCTTTGCCTTTGAGTAGAAACCAACGGAAGCTGGAGGCTCAGGGCTCTGCTGCAGCAGCGCAGGGACGGGAAGTACCAAGCACACCTTGCTTCTCATGAGGAGGTGGTTTTGCCCCCGCCACTCGCGGCGGGGCCGGGGGCCGGGGCCACACACACCAACTGCCCGGTCAGGCAACTGCCGCCGGGGACCGGCTCTGCGGGGCCAGAAGAGCCTGGGGGCGCTCTGTCCCTGGCCATCCTTTCCCTCGCTGTAGAACAGGGTCAGGGCTCCCTCGCCCTGAGGCGCCCCTAGCTCGGAATGGAAAGGGGGCAGGTGGGTGGGAAGCAGAAGCAGGCCCACGGACACCCTGTGGTCAGACCCTCTTAGGTAGGGTGCCAGCTGCTGGTCCACTGTCCCCCATCCCTCACGCCCCATTCCAAGTCCTCATGTCCCTCTCCTGGCTGACGAGCTGAGTCAGAGTGGCAGAGAGGCTAGGAGAGAGGCCTCAGGCTCAGAGTGCCTCGTCCTAACCTGCGTGCCCCCCACGTGGGCAAGTCACCCCGCCTTCCTAAGCCTTGCCCCCGCATCTGTAAAGCGGGGACGTTGGTGGCACCCACTCCTGTGGTGGGTGGAGGGCGGTCTGTGATGTGACAGCGTGGCAGCTGTGGTTAGGAAAGCCACCTGCCTGGGACCCCGGCACCCGAATGCTTCTTCTGGTCTGTCAGGTTGGCTTTTTACCTCAGATTTGGCTCAAGAGAACACAGTCTGACTCCTGCCTTCCAAGTCAGTTCCCCAACAAAACCTTCCAGATTCTTTCGACAGAGCTCAAGCTCTCTTTCTCTTTAACAACTTGAGGACTGAGACAGAGACCGTCACTATGGTGTCCCGCTTCTGAGCCCTCAGACGCCCCATCTGCTGCCCGAAACCTGGACTCCTGACAACTGCCCGGCTGGCCGGGCGCCCCTGTGTCTTCCCCGGGTGTGTACCTGGTTCCCCGTGGCTCCCCCGGCCTGTGGTCCAGGACCAGCCTGGGGCACGGGGTGCCTGGAGCTGCCGCCGCCGCGGGGCCTCAACTCCCCCCGCTGCCTCTCTCCCCCTCAGCGGGTGGGGAAACCGCGGCCGCTGAGGGCCTGCTCCCCACTCTTGGCTCTAACCTGCTGCAGGGAAGTCCCGCCGGTTTCCCTCAGGCCACTGGAGCCCGGGTGTGGTGGGCTTACCAGAGGTGGGTTTAGAGGCTGGCCAGCCTCAACCCATTGACTTTAAGAGCTTGTACGAACCTCCCTGAGCCCCAGCCTCCTCAGCTGTGAAATGGGCCTAACACCCACCCCATCCTCCAAAGGACTCACGGAAGCCGGAGGCCTCACCCCCACCTGCAGCCACCCACCCCGCCCTCCTCTGGGCCCGGCCCCCTCCTCACCCAGAGACATGAGCTCGTCATCAAGCAGGGAAACTGAGGTGCTAGGCTGCTCGGGGCTGGCCGGGTCAGCAGGGCAGGTGGGCATGGCTGGGTAGGTGGTGCCCGCAGGAGGGAGATCCAGGCCGGAGAGGTCCAGCAGGGCCGAGGTGCTCCCTGGAGGGGGAAAAGAGAGTCGGGCACTGCCTGGGTGGAGGACAGTCAGGCTCTCGGAGGCCAAGGCGCCTGGTGTGGGGGGCAGCAAGCTGTCCCCCCCCCCACAGCCCTCGCTTCCTTCCCCCCACCCTTGGCCACACCGCCTCAGCCCCCCAAATCTGCCACTAGGCCCTCTGTCTAGCCCACGGTGTTCCTTCTGTCCAGAAGCTACTTCCTCCTCCTCTCTACTTGGCCAACTGCCTCCCATCCTTCGAAGCCTTGCTTAAACTCTGCTGCTTGTGTAGTGCCCGCCCCCCCCCCCCCCCCCCCCCCGCAACAGGGCCTATTCTAACCTCCGTGGGCCCCCACGGCTGTCCCTTCACCCTGATGGAGCCGAGCCTGCAACGTTTGCATGTCAAACCCTCCCTCCCACCTTGTGATAAGTAGACTAAGCCCGGAGGGTGCTATCCAGCCCCCCACGACAGGTGCCAGATTTAGTAAATGAAAGAAAGGCCTTCCTTCTTCTGCCCGTCCTTGCCAAACCCTGGCTCCCTCCCCTCCGCCCCAGCCGCAGCCCTGGCACACACTTTCCCTGCAGCTGTCTCCCTAGGGGCCTTCCCCGTCTTACAGGGGCAGGGTCACCCTGGCAGTCATAGCCCCCACCCCAGCCTCTGTGCTGCTCCAGCCCGCTAGGCCCTGCCCGGCCCCCTGCGCCACCTGCTCACCAGGGACGGAGCCAGCTCCAGCATCGCCATTGACCTCCTCGCCCCTCACCAGCTGTTTGTACAGGTTGATCACCTGGGTGAGGTTGTCGTTGGCCTGCAGGATCTCGGCTGGAACAGGCAGGAGGGGAGAGACTAGGCTGAAGGAAGGTGGGGGGCTCTGGCGGGGAGAGGAGCACCCTAAGCCCATCCCAACCCTCGTGTGAGGGGGTGGGGCCGGGGGCATCCCAACTGCTCTACTCACTCGGGCCCTCTGTCACCTCCCCTTGTCCCATGTCCCCACCGCCCTGACCACGGTGGCACGTTCTGGCCTCCAGGCCTCCGCACCGGCTGTCTGGATGCCCCCCGCATTTCTGTGTGGCTTCCTTCCTGCCTGCCTTCAGGTCTTCACCCTAAGTCCTCTCAGAAGGCCTTCGCTCACTGCACCACCTAGTCCCCTCCCTGATTGCTAGTCTCCGTGTCACTGATGCCCACCTGAGAAACTTAACTGCTCACGGCCTTGGTTTCTTGTCTGTCCCCTCTCCTTAGGCTGCACGCTCTGCTGAGGATATGGCTTTGGTCGATTTTAAGCACACCGTGTCCCCAGGGACTAGAATAGTGCCTGGCACAAACTAGGCCCTTACCAAGGTTATCCCCTCAGGGGCCAGGGCTGAGGGGTCTGGGAAGCAAGTCCCTTGGGCAGGGACCAGGTACTTGGCACGGGGGAAGCCCTCATTGAGCTTCCACTGAGTCAGAGGCTGAGATGGTAGCCGGACTGCTGCCCCAGAGACTGGCTGACACGGTGGCAGAGAATAGGACGAGAACCTGATACATGGCCCTGGCAGGAGTCACAAGGCCCAGCTCTGGAGCTGCTCAGGCCTGTGGGATTTGTCCTTAGTTTCTAGCCCTTACCAGGGAGGCAGTGTCTGGAGAGAGCCCCTGGCCTACCCTGGCTCTGCCACTGTTATGCTTGGTGACCTGGGCCAGTCCCTTCTCTCCGCTTCAGCCTGTTCAGCTCGGGGGCAGGACATGAAATGCCCGAGTAGGGACTTGGCCCTTGGGATCTCCTAACCACACCAGCCCCTGCTCTCTACCTCCTCCTGGATATGCACGAACCCAAAGTCGGTGCTGGGGAAGGGGGCCCCCTGGTGGCAGCTCCTGCCAACTGCAGATACTTACCAAGGGCTGGGAGGGGAGGGGGGAGGGGGAAGGAGGCGGAGAGACAGGACTGACTGCCAGGGGCTCACCTAAGGCCTCATCATTGTCCTCCGTGTCACTGGCCAGTCGGAAGAGCGTCGGCCGCATCCGCTCACAGCGCTGGTACAGCTCCTGGGGGCAGCAGGGTTGGGGGCAGGGGTCAGGCCGGCAGGGGCCAGAAGAGGGTGGGGGCTGGGCAGAGGAGGCAGGCACACCTTCATGAGGTCCTCGCTGCTGCGGGCTGAGGCTCCGCCCTGGCTGTGGCTCATCACCATCTCCGTCAGCAGCTTCACGTTGTTGTTCACCTCCTCGATGGCACTCACCCGCTTTGAGATCTTCTCCATCCGCTTCTGGTCCTAGGGAGGCAGCCGCCCAGGGGGAGCCCAGGTCACACCTGCTCTGAGCCAGGCACCGTCCACAGCACTCTATAGAGTTTCCACTGGCGTGGTGTGACCCTGCTACACGGGGCTCGTGCCCAGGACAGGGCATTCTAGTTCAAAAAGCCCTCTGCCAACCCCGTGCTCACTTCCTCTCCTCCTGCTGACGGTCCCTGGTCCCAGGCCTCTGCACGAGCCTGTCAGAACCTGCGGGGCCCTCCTCACACACAACCTCCAGGATGGCTCAGGAAGCTGGGCCAGGTGCTTCTGGAGGACGAGGGCCACAGACCTACACTTGTGGTTCTACATGACCCTTGCCCTCCTTGCGTTTGTCCCTTGAAAGGAGGTGCCTTGAGAGTGAAAGGGGGCCTTCGTGGTCACCCAGTACAACCAGAACTAGGACAGCGACCCTCCCATCCCACGCCCACTGTGCTTACTATGCGTGTTCCTCCCTCACGGGACAGAAGGTGGGTTTGTGCTGTGCCATCTGACAGTCACCCTCCTTGAGAGGGGCCACCCGGCCTTCCTCTGCACTGTCAGGGCACAGAGCTTGCCCTTGGAAGACAACCTGGGACTCCTGCCCTGCAGGTCTCCAGGAGACTGTAAGCTCTGATGGCCTGCCCTCACCGATACAAAAAGTTTCAGTGCACCCAAGGCATACGTATCCTTGCTTAGAAGTTAAACACGTATGCTTCTCTCTCTCGTGATAAACATATCTATAGAAGTACCCTAAACATAGCGAGGCGTCATTTATTTCTACCTCTCGTGGAAGAGGTCGTCAGCCTCACAGAAGTCCAACTACAGCAGGTTAGCTCGGCTGCTGGGAAAGTCTTCCCTCCACATGGGTCCTGGCTCTGCCCACTAAGGTCCCCCAGTCAGCTCTTTCTTGGCCGTGACAGCCCTTTACTTGGCCACTGCAGGGCTCCTCGTACGCGCACACACCACCCCCCCACCTGGGGTGGCCCAGCTCAAATCCCCTCTCTGCCTCCTCCCCGAGCCGTGGGCTTGGCAGTCACCTCCTGCACCATCTCCTTGATGAGTTTGTTGGCTGCTCGGAGGTCCTCGGGGTGGGAGCTCTTCAGCAAGCGGGCCAGCATCTGCAGGGACAGAGGGGCAGGACTCTTGACACCGGTACTGGGTCTGGGGTCATATCCTGGCTCCCCGTTTCCTTGCTGTAGGACGTGGGGTACTTATTAAGCTGTCCGTGAAATGGTGAGCACCTACCGACACCTAATGGGGGGGGGGCACTGAAACACGGCACGTGAATGCTCCCCAAAGAAGTCTTTGATACACGGTACAAAATGTTCTGTTACTATCGCCAGAGAATCGTTCTGGAAGGATGTACCAGGAACTCAACAGTGCTTTCCCTCTGGGGCCGGGACTAGGTAGACACTTACTTTTTATCTTACCTCCTCTATAGTGTTTAATCTCTTGCCCACGAGCACATCTCCTTTTTTAACACAAAGTTAATACAATTACCATCGGAAGGATCAAAGACAAAAATACGCAAACTCCTGCTCAACCTATGAAATGCCCTCAAACGAATCCCAGGGACACACACATGCTTTCGTGTCTACTACAGGCAGGGGCTCTGGATGGGAAGTGCTCAGCACGCAGAAGTGCTTGATAAACTTTCCTGTCACCCACTTGTGCCCGCATGAGCCTCTGCTTCAGGGTAGGGCAGCCAGGGCCTGGAATTCAGACCAAGTGGGCCCTGAAGGTCCTCATGTACCCCCCTCCTACCCGTCCCTGGAGCCTCACCTTGGATTTCTCCTCATCTTCAAAGATCACATTCTTGGGTCGTGGAGGAGGAAGAGGAAAGGTAGCATCATCTGGAAGCTTGGGGTCGGACTTCACAATCCCTGGAGCAGACGGTGGTGGGAAGGCTGTCAACAGGGCCTAGGGCCAGGAGGTGGGATGGGAAAGGGAGGGCAGGCGAGGGTAGGATGGAGGGTGGAGGACAGTCTTTCTCCAGCATGCTGGCTCTGACTCTAGTGGGCCAGGGCTGGTTCCTGAACTACAACGTCGAATTGCGTGGAGGAGTTCAGGCACCCATATTTTGAGGCCACTCTGTGGGGGCCACTCCCTGAGAAGTTTGACCCAAACTCACTTTCTTTCCACCCAACCTAGCTTCAGAGCCATAAAAAGGCCCCATTAGCTATAGGTTCTTAAAAAGTTAAAGGGCAGCCCCATGATCTCACTGCCAGAAGCCGCCCCTGAAGCTGCTAGAAGCCCCAGCTCGGGGGGAGGAGGCGCTGCTCACACCCCACCCTCTAGCGCCTCACCCTGCTTCTTCAGCATCTGGTAGGCCTCTGCAATTTTCACCTCCTCGGGCAGGCCAACCGTCCAGCTGTAAAGGAGCTCCAAGATCTTGTTCTTCACCTTCTCCGATGTCCGTGAGCCCAGGTACTTGAGACCGAGGGGAGAGCAGGCCGTTGCCATCGTCCGGCCCCGCTCGCTGCAGCCCCAACCCCTGCCCCAAGCTGGCTGCCTCCCCAGGACTCCCCTGGAAACCTCAGCCTGCCGAGCGGTCTGGTCCCGGCTCTGCTGCCCCACCTGTTAAGCGGGATGACAGCAGCGGCATCATGGCGAGGATGAAGAGCTGACACAGGGAAGGCGCGGAGCCCAGCGCCTGCTCAGGGCCAGCTCATCTATGGCTTAACTCGGCGACCTCGGGAAGGAGGAGCCTCCTGGCCTGGAGCTGGCCAGGGCAGGGGTGGGCGTGGCACTGCTCGCCCGGGTCCCACTCACAGTCTCTTAGCAGCAAACTAGGCCGAGGGAACTGGCTCTCACACCAGTCGCCTCCCAGGAAGAGAATGGGGGGCCGGGGGGGACATTCAGCTGCTCTGGTTAAGAGAGCGGGGTATGAGCAAAGGAGGGGTGGGCTCTCATCCAAGGGGCCTCAAACAGCTGCATGCCCTATGGGGGGACTCCCCCAGGCCAATGCTGGGGCTTTGCCCATCAGCAGGCTCCGCCACTCAGATTTGGGGCCTCAGCATCCAAGGCCTCAAGGAGGCCACTCTTGTGAGGTGGGGACAGGGAGACCCTCCACTAGAGCCCCGGGTGGGGCGCTGCAGCCAGGTCCTCGGGGAGAGAGCAGAGCCAGGGCGGCCGTGCTGGGTGCATGCCCTGTGGTCACTCCTCACTAAGCCTGAGCAGCCCCGTCCGTGGGCAGCTGCAGAGCCGCCAGCCACTGGGTGGCCTGGAAGCCCCCCTCCCGGACCCCCACTGCCCCGGAGTCCGCTGTTAAGGACGGTGAGAAAGGCTCTGTGTTTGTGCCAGTCAGACTTCTAAAGGGGGGCTGAGCAGTAGACGCAGGAACCCCAGTGCGAGCTCTCGGGATGACAGCGGTCAGGCACCTCCCACAGGGGGTCGTCCTTCCCCAACCCCCCAGTGACAGCGCAGGCCTGAGCTGGGGCTGGGAGCACCCACCTTGGGAGACACGACCTTGATGAGCTCGTTGAGAAAGCGGAATTTGCCCACCTCGTCATGGAACCTTTTGCCGCAGCTCTTCATGCATGTTTCCAGCACCTGGGGGGGGACCCCAGGGAGAGGGTCAGAGGAGACAGCCTCCCCCCACACCTTGGCCAGGGCCCGGAAGCCCAGGGATGGGCATTCAGAGGGTGGGGGGAACGACTCCTGAGGACAAGAGGATTCTGAGGGTCAGAGTCCCCTGAGCCTGATCACCACCCCTGGGAGCCCCTCCCCAGCCTGGCCGCCTTTGAGCACCACAAAATCCTATGATTTTTCTTTGATGGTTTTTTAAACTTCAACAGGTACCATCTACCTTGCCTTATCCTATACGTCCTATACTCATAGGACTGGCATGTATTTGAGAAAACCCCATCCCATCAAAACAAATACATAACTATGAAAAGAAGAACTGTTTACCACCCGAGGTCAGCCTTGTTCTGTAGTGGGTTGCTATGTGGCCCGTGCCTGGGGGGCACAGACAGTGCACCCCCTAGTATTCTGCTGACACAGCTTTGAAAGCTCTGGCCTGAGCCCGGCGTCAGCACTCGAACCCCCATGGGAAGGACGGCACCGTCCTGGGTCTGGAGACCACTGATGGGCTGAGCGGGCTCCACACTGCTCCTGGGAACTTTATAAACATGCAGATTCCTGGGAACAGATACTGAAGGAGCTCGGGTTCAGTGGAGCCCTCATTCAGTATGTGCCCGGCCTCCTGGAGATCTGACATGTGGCTGCAGCAGGGAACCCCTGGGCCAGATGGTCCTAGGGGGCTTCCTCCCCACAAGAGGCCTAACTGTGCAGGGGCTGGGGCAGGAGGCCGTGGGCCCCCAGGGCTGGCCCAGACTCCCGATCTAGGCCATTCTGGCCCCACTCCTTTGGCCTCTAAAGAAGAGCCTGATGGGACCCCCCCAAAAAACCTCCGTCTTGTGCCATCCACATGGTCGGGGGACAGACGGCACCCTCTCTCCGCTTCTCACCGTCAGGGCTTGGATCGCCTCCCACTCCTGTGGTGACTGGATCTTGTGAGCCAACAGCCGGGTGGCAAGTGGAGGCCTGGGTGAGAGGAATGGCACAGATCCCAAACAGCTGGAGCCTGAGGCACCCCAGGGGAGGACTGCCACAACACCCTGCTGGGACCGCAGCCCTTGGTTGCTTCAGTGGGGCAGATGCAAAGGCCCAGCTCCTTTTCTGATCGGATGGGGCCAGAGACTGAGGCCCGACAGGGCAGGGCCAGGCAAGGACTCGGAGCTGGGGACCTTCAAAAGGCATGAGCTCAGCCCCTCAGCCAGCTTTGCCGAGAACTGTGAGCTGGAGAGGGGACCACAGCCTTCAAGGGCCCGGTCTGGGAGTACACCATGACAATGGACCATGAAGGACAGGCAGACAGAGCTCCCTGGGAATTTGAGGGCGCCCAGGACATTTTGTTGGGAGAAAGCAAAGCAGCTTCACAGTAGAGGTGGTGAGCCCGTCTACTAGATCATAAAAGACCCGTCACCAGTGACCATGACACTGAACGTGGACTGAGCGCTTAGAATGGACGAGGCTCCTCATGTGCCTTTTCCTGCCCAGCCTTCAGGGGGGCCCTCCAGAGTCGACAGTACTCTTGCCTCCACTTTACAAAGGAAATGGAGGCTTGCCCAGCTGACTCAGCTGACAGAGGGACGGGACTCGCACCCCAGCAGCTGGACTCCGGGTTGCGCACATCACACTGTATGCACGGCCTCCCAAAGCAGAGCGCCTGCAGAAGCCCCCTGGCTGTGCTCCCCAAACCTGAGCACCACCTGGGGAGCCTGCTAGCAAAGCCACCCCATGCTCCTTGCCACTCTAGTCCCTGCCTGCACCTAGGCCCCCCAAATGTGCATTTTTGACAAGCACTAATTCCAATGCAGGTGGTTCTCGCTCTTCTTTCAGCAAAGGGCCTGCTGGCCTCCTCCCAGCTGGGGAGCATGTCCCAACAAAGCACTGGCTGGGGCTCAGGCGGGCCTGGGCTTAATCAAGCCCAGGACTACCATTTTCTTTGTGGGGGACCCCTGAGTCCCCTGGGCCTCAGCTTCTTCACCTGTAAAATGGGTTCAGTGAGGCCCAGTTTACAGGGTGGCACACAGACAGTGCACCCCCTAGTATTCTGCTGACACAGCTTTGAAAGCTCTGGCCTGAGCCCGGC